TAAATCGGAAAACAAAAAATTGAAAAATGAAAACTCGAAAAGAAACATCGTAAAATTGCAGAAACAAAGAAATGAAAAATTGTGAAACGAAAAATTGTACAAATTTAAATCGAAAAAACAAAAAATTATAAAGTAGGACATTAAAAATGGAGAAATTGTATAAATAAAGAAAATAAAAAAACAAAACCAAAAACTGATAACAAAAAAATTTTAAAAATAAAAAATTAGAGATCCAAAAAATTGAAAATTTCAAAATAGAAAACCCGAACAATTGTAAATTCGAAAAAATGGAAAACCGAAAAATTGCAGATCGAAGAACTGATAAAAGAAAAAATGAAACATTGAAACACTAAAAATTGAAAAAAAAATCGAACAATTGGAAAGAAGAAAAAACGAATCGAATCGACGAATTGAAAACTCAAAAATTGTAAAATCGTAAATTCGTCAAACTGTAACAGTGAAAGATCGAAAAATGGAAAAAATAATCAATTTAATTTTTTGGATTTTATATCACAATTTTTCATTTTTCATTTTCTTTATTTTTTCAATGTTTTCTTCGATTTTAAAATTTTTCGATTGCTCAATTGTTCAACGTTTCAGTCTCTGTTTTTCAGTTCGTCGACCTTTCAATTTTGCAATTTTTGGATTTCCAATTACCCGATTTTCTTTAATTTTCAATATTTTAATTTAACAATATTTCGTTTTTTCGATTTTGGAGTTTCTGTTTATTCAATTTTTTCCTTTTTCCATTTTTCAAGTTCTTGATTTTGACTTTTTTGATTTTTCAGAGTTTTCACTCATGATGAATTAATGAATCGAAAAATTGGAAAGAAGAAAAAACTAATCGAACAGAAAAATTGGAAACCCAATCGAAAAATTATCGAATGTCGAAAAACTAACAATGACAAATCGAAAAATTGAAGAATTATAATTCAAAAATTGAAAAATCGTATAAATGAAAAAGTTTTAAAATCCAATAATTGAAAAATGGAAATATTCTAAAGTCGCAAAATTGAAAAAGCTAAAATTTAAAAAATTATCATTTTTATTAGATATATATTTAAAATGAAAACTACAAAAATAGTCTGAATATTGAAAAATCAAAAAACTGCAAAATCTAAAATTTAAAAAAGCAATAATAAAAGCTTCAATTTTTTCAATTTTTCAAATCTCGACTTATAAATTTCTCAATTTTCCGTTTCTTCAGATTTTCGAAATTTAAGTTTCTCAATTTTTTGATTTTTCATCTTTTGGTTTCCTGAATTTTTCGAATTTTTGATTTTTATTTTTCATTTTTCGATGTTTTCATTGTCATTTCCTCGTTTTTATTTCACAATTTTTGTTTTTTTTCAATGTTTTTTTAGATTCTATAATTTTTCGTTTATTCAATGTTTCAAATTAATCTTTGATTTTTCATTTCGTCGACCTTCCAATTTTTAAATTTCTCAATTGTGCAATTTTTGTATTTCCAATTGTCCGATTTTCTTTAGTTTATAAAATTTCGATTTTACAATATTTTGTTTTTACGATTTTGCAGTTTTTCGATTTTGGAGTCCCTCAATTTTTAATCTTTTCAATTTGTCGTTTTTTCAATTTTTCAACTTCTTGATTTCTAGAGTTTGGATTTTATACTTTTTCGTTTTTTTATTTTTGATTTTTCAATTTTACAATTCTGCACTTTTTCCAATTAATGAATCGAAAAATTGTAGAATCGTGAAAATTGTAACGTCGAAAAACTGTAATACCGAAAAATTGAAAAATTATTAAAAATGAAAAATTGAAAAATGGGGTAAATGAGAAAGTTATAAAATCCAAAATTGAAGAAACGAGCAATAATTAAAAAATTGAAAAGTTGAAAAATCAAAAAATTGAAAGCGGAAAAACTGCAAATCGAAAAATTGCATAATCTAAAATTCGAAAATTTGAAAATCGGAAAACTGAAAAATTTAAAAATGAAAACTCGATGAGATGCGTATCGTAAAACTGAAGAAACAAAAAAAAACAAAATTGAAAAATTACCATTCGAAAAATTGTGAAACGAAAAATTGAAAAAATTAAAACAGAAAAAACAAAAAGTTATAGAGTCGGAACATAGAAAAATATAAAATTTGTAAAAAAAAGAAAATAAAAAACTGAAACGAAAAATTGAAGAAATTCTGAAATTGGAAAATCTAAAAATTGAAAAACTAAATAAATTGAAATTGATAAAACAAAAAATTATAAAATGGGGCATTAATAAGTGGAAAAACACTGAAATGCGAAAACTTGAAGAAATGAAAAATTAAGAATTGAGCTCGAAAAATTTTAAACCGAAAAACTGCAAAATGAAAGAAGAGGAAAATCGACGAACAACTGAACAAAGAAAACATCGAAACAATGAAAAAGTAAAAAAAAATGTAAAATCGGAAAATTATGGAATCGTCAAAATTGTCCAAAGAAGTCCTAAAACTGTGGCATTGAAAGATCTAAAAATCAAAAATTAAAAAATCGAATAAATGAAAAAGTTTTAAAATCCAATAATTGGAAAATGGAAAAATTCTAAAATTATAAATTCGAACAAGCGAAAAACTGTTAAAATTGTGATTATTATTATTAGATACATATTTCAAATGAAGACTACAAAAATAGCAAATCCAAAATTAAAGAAATGAAAAATTTTAAAATCCAGAAACTGAAAAATCTAAAATTAAAAAAACCAAAAATTAAAAATCTGAAAATTGAAAAATCGAAAAATTGAAAAGCGAACAATTGCAAATGGAAAGATCGAAAAATCCAAAAAGTGAAAAATTTCACTTTAAAAACAATTGGAAAATCAGAACATCGAAAAACTGAAAAATTGGAAAAACAAAGAAAATAAACCGAAACGAAAATTTGCAGTTTGAAAAATTGGAGAACTGGTGAACTGAAACTGAAACACATCGTAAAATTAAAAACAAAACAAAAAATTAAAATTTAAAAATTGGAAACCGAAAAATTCAGAAAGGAAAAATTCGGAACATTGAAAAATCGAAATATTGAAGAACCGAAAAACTACAAAAATTAAAACTCAAATAACAAAAAATTATAAAATGAGACATTAAAAAATAGAGAAGTTGTAAAAATAAAGAAAACAAAAAGCCGAACCCAAAAACTGAAAATCGAAGACTTGAAGAAATGAAAAATTCGAGAATCAAAAAATTGAAATTTTCAAAATTGAAAACTCGAATAATTTGCAAATCGAACAACCGAACAAAGAAAAAATCGAAACAATGAAAAACTAAAAACCGAAGAAAATTAATGAATCTAAAAATTGGAAAGAGGAAAAATCGAAATATTGAAAAAACAGAAAAATTACAAAAATGAAAAACTGCAAATCGAAGAATTGATAAAACGAAAAACTAAAAAAATTAAAATTGAAAAAACAAAAAATTATAAGATCGATACATTGGAAACTCCAAAAATTACAAAATCTAAAAATTGAAAGAACAAAAAAAATTAAAAATTGAAAAATTGTAAACCGAAAAATTGAACAAAATGAAATTGAAAAAATAAAATTATAAAATCGGAATATTGACAAATCGAAAATTAGTAAAAACAAAGAAAATAAAAATCGAAAAAAAATTGAAAATCGAAAATTTGAAGAAATAAAAAATTAAAAAATCAAAAATTTTAAAATTTAAAATTGAAAACTCGGGAAATTTTAAATCCAAAAATCGTAAAAGTTGAAAATCGAAGAACTGAACAAACGAAAAATCGAAACACTGAAAAACTAAAAATCGAAAAAAATTAATGAATGGAACAAATGGAAATAACAAAAAATAGAATACAAATTTTTCGATTTTTTGACTTTAATTCCATTGAAAATCGAAAAATTGCAAATCGAAAAATTGAAAAATCCAAAAATTGAAAATCAGAACATTGAACAACTGAAAAATTACAAAATCGAAAAATGGAGAAACGAAAAATTATGAAATCGAATAATTGTTAAAATATAAAGAAAATAAAAAACCGAAACGAAAAATTGCAAATCAAAAAACTGAAGGGACGAAAACTTGAAAAATTAAAAATGAAAACTCCGGAAATTTTAAATCGAAAAATCGTAAAATCCAGAAACTGAAGAAACGAAAACAGTGAAAAACGGAACGATCGCAAATTGAAAAAAAAAATAAAATTGAATAATTGAAAAAATAAAAAAAATTAAAACCGAAACGAAAAGTTGCAAATCGAAAAACTGGAATATTAAAAACTTTAGAAAGTCATCAAAACTGAAGAAACAAAAAGAAAAATTGAAAAATTCAAGTCAAAAAGCTGCAGGAATCTCATTTCCGCCCCTGATGTCTTACTTTTTTATTTTTCAGCGACGAAATTTTTCCCGATTTCCTTAAATGAAATTCTCCTCGATCATCCGCCACACTCAGCAAGAAATTCCAACTTTGTGCAAGCACTTAACTTTCATGTAGCTGCGAGTTAGTAATCAGACTCCGTCCCTAAAAAACCAGAATTTCCTCCAATGCACCCGCGAACTGCATCTCCAACTTCGCCGAACTTCTTTCACTTCCTTATAATTACAACAAGCGCCCCTTGGTCATGACATCCCATTATAATAACCCATTAAAATGTTTGATAACGTCTAAAACCCTCCATCTCTCTCCGCGCCGACAGATTCATTAAGAGCAAAAACTTTCCATCCTTTTAAAAATACAACTCCTTCCGGTTCAGCAATCAACGTCAGTTTCACTCAAATCAAAACTGAATTGTAAACTTTTAAGAGCTTAACGGATTAATTGTCCAACAGAAGGAGCCCGGGAGAAGTTTTAAGTGTTCTCGACACACATTTAAAATTTAAATGTTTATGGCTCAGGTAGCGGGCCGGGGCGGATCGACTTTCATTAAAAAGAAAAAAGTGTCCACGTCACAATGCGCCACTTACGTCCGTAATGCAATTACGCGGAATTCTTGACGGTTTTAATTCAAACTGGCAAATGCAATTAGTTTTAATTGAAAGTGTAACTTGATTTCAGGGGAGACTTTTTGCCACACTTTGCACATAATGGACTCGAAGGGCACCAGTGTTCTCGTTAACAAGAAGTGCACTACGGACAAGGAGTGCCAGAGGACGAAGGTCGGCTGCGTCGAAGTCGACTCGCAAAAGGTAAAGAGAGCTTTTTTTTACTTAATATATAATCAAAAAATCAAAAATTTCTAAAGTTGAAAAAATAAAAAATTCAAAAATTCAAAAATTTTAACTTCAAAACTCGAAAAATTGAAGCAACAAGAAACTGAACGATCGAAAATTGAAATGAAAAATTAAAAAACCGAGAAAACGAAAGTTGAAAAATCGAATACTTGAAAATTCAGCAGAGTGCAAAGATGAAAAATTACAAAATCGAAATATTCAAAAGTTGAAAACTACAAAATTTTGGAACTGGAAATCTAAAAAATTGTAGATCTAAAAATTAAAGATCCAAAAGAATTGAAAAGAAACGAATAAAAACATAAAAATATTAAAAATTCGAATATCGAATAATCGAAAAGTTACAAATATGAAAAGTCTAAAACTGAAAAATTGAAAAATGAAACCGATTGAAAATTCGAATATCGAAAAAAATCGAAAATTCGATGTATGAAATAATCGAAAACTTGAAAATCTAAGAAATCGGAAAGGAAAATCGAAAATCCAAAAATTCCAGAAAGGAAATATAGAAAAAAAGAAATATAGAATGTCGAAAAACCGAAAATTCGAAAAATGGAAACCAAAAATTCCTAATTTGGGAAATTGAAAATTCGAAAAAACGAAAAATCCAAAAACCGAAGAATGAAATTGAGAAACCGAAAAACAAAAAAAAATTGAAAATTTGAATATAGAAAGATCGAAAAGTAAAAAAAACAATAACAAAAACATCCAGATTAAAAAAAAAACTTAAAATTGTATAACAATATTTATACTCCTGCAATTAGGTATGGTTTATGAATTCATGTTCAGTTTTACCCTTGAAAAGTGATTTTTTATAAATCGTAAAAATTGCCATATTTCAATTAACGACTCTTGAAAAACAATAGAAATTTCCGAAGAAACGAAGCAGAAACTGACTTCTGGATATCTAAATCTACAAGAAAATTTTCATGGTCAACAATGTCAAAAGTGCCAAAATCAGTCCTATCTTATCAAATACTAGCCCCGCCCACCCACCCTCTATTTTCTTGGAAGGTATGTCATCTACCAAAATCAGTCTTATCTTCACAAGTATTGGCCCCGCCCACCCACCCTCTCTTTTGTTAGAGAGATCTCATTTGCCAAAATCAGTGTTATCCTGGCAGGTACTAGTCCTCTAAAAAAATAAAGGGCTGGTGGGCGGAGCTCGTACTTACTAAGACAAGACTGAGTTTCCTAAATGTCATACCCTCTAAGAAAGTAAAGGGTGGGTGGGCGGGCCTAATACTTGCCAAGATAAGACTGATTTTGGTAAATGATTTATTTTCTAAGAAAAAACGGGCGGGTGGGCGGGGCTAGAACTTGCCAAGATAAGACAGATTTTGGCAAATGAGATACAACTTAAATTTTAAGGTATTTAATTAAAAATCTTCTAAAGATAAGTTAAAGTTTTGCATAATTAAATTAAGATTTCGATATAATGGCTCGAAATTTTAAGAGAAAAGCTTTCAATTTTAATCTATTAAGTGTAAATTTAGAGATAAATGAAGACAGATTTTGTCATAATTAATAAAATTCTGAAATCAGTAGATTGAAATTTACTTTAATTAACGCTAAATTTCGAAATTATAGAAGCTTGAAGTTAATTAAAACTAATTAAGTATATCTAATTTAGAGTCAAGAAATCTAATCTAATAAACCGAACTTTTAGGGTCAATAAACTGAAGTTTCGGGTTAATAAGTTAAAGATCTAAAAATTAAAGATCCAAAAGAATTGAAAAATCTAAAAAATGAAGAAATGAAAAAAAAATACAAAAATTGAAAATTCGAATATCGCATAATCGAAAAGTTAAAAATATGAAAAGTCTAAAACTGAGGAGCGGAAAAATTGAAAAAATCACAAATCGAAGAATTGAATAATTTTAAAATGAAACCAACTAAAAATTCGAATATCAATTTAAAATCGAAAATACGATGAATGAAATAATAGATAATTTGAAAATCCATAAATCGCAGAATGGAAATATAGAATGTCGAATGGTCGAAAATCAAAATTAAAAAGATTCGAATATCGAAAAACCGAAAATTCGAAAAATGGAAAATCGAAAATTCCAAATTTGGGAAATTGAAATTTCGAAAAATCGAATAGGCGAAAAGTTGAAAAATCGAATAACTGCGAAATTGAAACATTAGAATATTGAAAAACTGAAACAAAGAGAAATCGCTCGAAAAATAAAAAAATCGAAAAGTAAAAAAACGAAAAATCGAAAAACCGAAGAATGCAATTGAGAAATCGAAAAGTAAAAAAAAACAATAACAAAGATATCCAGATTTTTGAAAAAAAAAAAACTGAAAATTGTATAACAATATTTATACTTCTGCAATTATGGTTTGTGAATTCATGTTGAGTTTTACCATTGAAAAGTGAATTTTTTATAAATTGTAAAAATTGCCATCTTTTAATTGACGACTCTGGAAAAACAGTAGAAATTTCTGAAGAAACAAAGCCGAAAATGACTTCTGGATATCGAAATCTACAAGAAAATGTCCAGCTAATTTTCGAAAATGGTTGACAAATGGTCAACAATGTCAAAATCAGTCCTATCTTATGAAATACTAGCCCCGCCCACCCACCCTCTATTTTCTTAGAGGGTATGTCATTTACCAAAATCAGTCTTGTCTTAGCAGGAACTAGCCCCGCCCACCCTCTTTTTTTTTAAGGGTATGTCATCTACCAAAATCGATTTTATTTTAGCAGGTACTAGCCCTCTAAAAAATAAAGGGCTGGTGGGCGGAGCTGGTACTTACTAAGACAAGACTGAGTTTCCTAAATGTCATACCCTCTAAGAAAATAAAGGGTAGATAGGCGGGGCTTAATACTTGCCAAGATAAGTCTGATTTTGGCAAATGACATACAACTTAAATTTTAAGGTAATAATTAATTAAATATTTTAAAAATTTTAAGGTAATTAATTAAAAACTTTCTAAAGACAAGTTAAACTTTTGTATAATTAAATTAAGATTTCGAGATAATGGCTCGAAATTATAGGAGCTTCAAGTTAATTGAAACAAATTATATCTAATTTAGAGTCAAGAAATCTGATCTAATAAGGCGAACTTTTAGGATTAACAAACTGAAGTTTCGCATTAATAAGTTAATAAGTAATTAATAAATTAAGAAATTATTAAAGCTCGAAGCAGTAAAAAATTCACATTTGAAAAAGTTGTCTAATATTCTACAAAAAAATCTGGGTTATTATATAGATTTGAATATAGAAAAATATAGCGTCTTTATTGGCCCCGCCCGCCCACCCTTTATTTTCTTGGAAGGTATATCATTTTCCAAAATCAGTCTTATCTTCACAAGTATTGGCCCCGCCCACCCACCCTTTATTTTCTTCGAGGGTATGCCATTTGCCAAAATCTGTTTTATCTTTTCAAATACTAGCCTCTCCTCTTAGAGGGTGTCTCATTTGCCAAAATCAATCTTATTCTGGCAAGTACTACTCCACCCACCCGCCCTTTATTTTCTTAGAGGGCCTGTTGTTTGGCAATATCAGCCTTATCTTGGCAAGCACTAGCCTCCCCTACCCGCCCTTTATGTTCTTGGAGGGCTAATATCTACTAAGGTAAGACTGATTTTTCAGCGATGTTTAGAATGATGAGCTTAGAACAATTGTAGTTATGCAACCAAGTATTCACCTTTTGTCATTCCATTTCTGTGTACTGTTCTTTCGTTTCTAAATCCAGACTTAGCAGATTACAATCAAAACAAAACGATAAACATGTCTGTGTGAGATAAAAAATTCTTTAAAATGCTGACACATTTCAAGCTTCAATATAAAAATAATTTCAATTATACAGGAAAAATACTCCCCATCTTTGGACATGAGTCAAAAAAATTTTACGTCGAATTTGTTGAAGTTATGACATCATCATTGATTATTTTAAATGGGACACTACATTTTGATCAAATTATTTGATAAAGCTTACTTTTCTACATATAGGGTAGTGTAGCTCGATGTAGGGGTTGAATAACAAAAAAAAATGGAGAAAATTAATAAGTGAATGAAATCCAAATAACTAAAAATTAAAACAATAATCTGTCAAAGAGAATCGTTTTTGTTAGTTTCTTAAGTTGGCTTAATAAAATAAAGAAGACTTTTTGGCTGTATGCAACCTGCTAGCACTGATTTTGACAAATGGCATAACTTTTAAGAAAATAGAGGGCGGGTGGGTGGGGCTAATACTTGGCAAGATTAGACTGATTTTGGAAAATGGCATCTTTTAAGAAAACAAAGGGTGGGGGGGCGGGGCTAGTTTTTGCTAGGATACGACTGACTTTGGCAAATGACATATTAGTTAATAAAATAGAAATTATACACCAATTTCGCCTCATTCCAACTTTCCCAAAATGTACCGCATCATCTTGATCCTCAGCTTTAGTTGAACGACTTTTTCTTCCAAGCTAGGTGACAAAAAGTACCCATGTTGTACCATTAGCTTAGTGAGCTTGCCTCAAAATCATCTTATACCTTAGCTTAGGGCCAGAGTTTTCATGTGAGGTCTTTTATTTACGTTAGCCCCACTCTCACAAAGTAGTTGAGCGACCTCATAATTCCCATTCGTCAAACAGTGGTGTAAAGGTGTCCCCATTCTGTTATCCGGATTTTCAAGCTCAGCCTTATTGTCAACCAACAGCTTGACAATATCGTAGTGCTGATATTGACACGCTGCGTGAATAGGCGAATAGCCATGACGATCTGTAATATTGACGTCCGCCCCGCTATCAACCAAGACTTTGGCAGCTTGATAGTGACCTTGAATCGCCACCATAACCATGGGTCGCATTTCGTCAATACCAATGTCTCGTGCGTCCAAGTTAGCACCATTATCGATAAGAAGCTGCATAATTTCGGCATTGCCACCCTTAGATGCTTGGAAAAGTAAACCATCAGAACTTCTTTGCGAGAGATTTTTCTTGTCGTCTTCGAGGTTGACGATGCTGCGTAAACTCGTCACCGATTGAGTCTCAGTTAGACGAAATTCGAGGAAATGGTCTGTGGTCTTGATATAAGGCACGTCCATGATGTCAAAAATCTGAACATAATCCGCCACCGCGCAATAAAAGAAAATCAAAATCGACTTTTGGGTAAAATCGTCACTGAAAGACGAGCTCCAAGTCAACATCGCCAGAGACAAAAGCGACGACGATTTCGACGCATACGAGAAAGAACTGATTTGAAACAAATCGTCGGTTTCTTCAAGAGGAAACAATTTCTTCAGTTTGTCCAGAATTGTGCAATGGTCCGAGCTTTCGCCCTTGCGGAACTTCGACATGTCGATATTTTCGTTGTCGATGATGTAGGCGCCGTTTTTTGTTTCGATGTTCAAATCCGAACACCTCAAGCCCCAAGAACTAATCAGTTGTAAAACATTTTTCCCCCCTTTATCTTTCGAGATAATTTCGTCTTCGTCACACTTAGCCAGAAGGTTCGTATTCCGGTACAAAACCGCCACGTGAGCTTTATTCATCGCCAACATCAAGTCGAAGAAAACTTGGATGTTGATGTATCTTATCGTCAAACCAAAAACTTCGAGTTTCCGGAACTCGCTCCAGGTGTTTCGAAAGGTACAAAGCCGTGAAGTACTCCCCGAAGGAGTTGTAGACGAACTGCACCAAACTGTCATCGTCTACGTTGATGATAATGCCAAAACGGTCTTTGCCGTTTTGGAGCTCCGTCAAAAATTTCTTCCACTTGATTGTCCACTTGGTGACTAGGTCGTGAGGTAAGTACACACTCAAGACCGCTTTTTCGTACTGATACACCCTCTGCTTCTTTTCGGTTTGGATTCTTTCGTAGACCAAATCGTTGTCGTCGTCGGCTTTTTCCTTCCCGATGTCATACACTTGGAATTTTTCGTCGACGAAATGGTCGTACAAATCCGCGATGGAAAAAACTTCGTCTAGAATGACAAGGTACTTCTGCAAGTTTTTGCGAAACAGCTCCGTAATGATGAAGATTTGTAAAGGAATCCCTGGAATTTTATTACACGGGAAAGCTGGAAGTTGGTCTTAATTTTTTCGAAGATCGTCAACATTTCGTCTGGCGTGCAGTCAAGACGTTGTTGAATGTAACGCTTCTGCTCGTTGTCGTCGAACGGCGTGAGGGTCGTGGACGGGATTCGAAACTTCATCTCTAATTTCTTTTTCATGTTGCACCTTGACGTTACCCATTGTTGTATACCACTATGATGAAGTTTGTCGATGATACTAAGAACCGAGTCTACATTCATAGTGGAAACTTCGTCCAAACCATCCCATATGTAACGAACCAAGTTCTGCTCGCGCATAATCTCGAAAATTTTGACATCAAAATCACTCAGGTTCTTTTTGGCTTGGTCTAGAACGTGTTCGTGGAATGTTTCCATGTTGTCTGCGTGTTCGCGGAAGTGTCGCGAGTGATTTCTAGCATAGATTAAAACCGTCCAAAGGTCTGACGATATCTGGTTTTTCAAACTTTGCATGAGGGTAGTTTTGCCCATTCCAGGGTCAGCACAGACGATGTTCATGTTCCTGTGGAACTCGTAACGTTGTAGAGACTTTTCTTCCACGTGGTAACCCTCGAGAAGGTGCTGTTTCAAGTCACCAAGACCGTTTCTACTAGCCATCCACTCGAAATTCCCGTCGACGTAGCGAAAGTGGTGGCAGTTAGCAAAACCACCAATCGTGTGACAGAACGTGTCGAAGAGCAACCAAGAACAATCGTCTTCAACTACATAGATGGTTTCCTCCGTATGACGATGATTCCCCCCGAAGAACGACTCGTCGACTTTGACGACATTTTTACCACCGAAATTGTCGTTGTCTTGCACGGATGACACAAAAAGGACACAGTTTTGCAGTCTTAAAATAGTCTGATGGTCGACTACGTTTCTAGACAGTCTTCTTTCCACGTGACAAGGTGGCAAAATCTCCCCTTTTCCACCAACCACAAATTTGCCTTCCGACATCAAAAGCAGCTCATTGGTGATCACAACATCCACCACTCATCGATCCACTTGAACTAAATTCTCAAGAGCAATTTTGTCTTTTCCTTGCATCGAAAAACCAAATTTTCGAACAACGTTGGCAAAAATTTCGGGAAACGCCGACAAGACGACCATGTTTTGACAGAGCTTGACGGCTCGTCGGACAAAATCGTGGTGTGTGACGACCAATGGGCACACACCCATTAACCACAAAAGCTTCATGGTTTCGTCATTTGACATCAAAATCAATGAGGTTTTTTTCTCTTGGTCACGAACATGTTCGTGGAATGTTTCCATGTTGTCGCCAAGTTCGTGGGAGTGTCGCCAATTTCATTTTCTACGTGCCTAATAGTTTAAAAATATTATCATTCTATTGCGAAATATGTACTGGTGACAAGAGTGGAGACTAACATTTTAGACAAAAAAATCAATATAATATTTTTTGTCCAATTTACCACCTATATATTTTTTGTAAAGTCAGATATCACTTCAGTTGTAATTTTTCGTGACCTAGTTCTACCGTCCGTGTCTTACTTTTTTTCCTATTTTATTCCTTATCATAATTGGGATAAAAATTTGCATCTCTTATCTAAATAAATCTTGTTCAACACAGGCTTCACGAAATGGCATTAACTCGGCACGTTTACACTCACCGACAAAAAGTTTCATCATTCGGAGTTGCGTTTGCCAACAATAAAGACTTTTCAATAAAAAATTACCGTGTTTGTTTCATTATTTTATCATCACTTTGTATTCATGGGCAAATACCAGAATTAGACGAATCAAATACCACTTTAAAACTCGATCTTTTTTATTTCAGATCTGCGTCTCCTGCTGCGATCAAGATTACTGCAACATCAACGTTCCCACCAACTCCAGCAACGCCCTCTTCGACGACAAAATCACCAAGATGCGAATGCTGGCCAAGAACCTATTCCGCGAAAGAGAAAAGGCCCTCACAACCACCATCAAGGACACTAACAGTGCTTTCACCAGTCACACCGGTTCACTCCTGACCATGGCTTGGTTAATTTTACACGTCATTTAAGCCCCGCCACTACCACCACCACCACAAATCAAAACCGAAATCAAAATTCTCGACCCACAAGATTTAGTTGCTTTCGTGTTTTCCGTCCTTTGTTTCCCTCTTGCTTTCGTTATCGACAATCACGCACAAGAAGGAGAACTGGAAGACGATTGGTGAAGGGACGGCAGCTGGTGATGGATCTGCGAACTTATTTTTATACCTTTTCTCGTAGCTTGTTACTGTCCGCATCTGTTGGTTTCGTTGTTTGGATTTGGGAGTACATGCGCCGATTTTTATTCACAATGTCATGTTTATTATCAACGAATACTCATATGTTGTACGGATTTATTACCGTTATGTATTAAGTCTATTAAAGAATTAAATTCAGCTAAATAAAGGAGAGATTTTTATGGAAGGTTTGGTTTTTTTCATCCCTTGATGGCCAGACGTGTGGTTCAAAAAGTTGGTGCCCGAGACGGGCAAGGTCAGAGGCTTAAATGTAAAAAAAATAAAATTATATATTATCATTTTTGGAATCAACAGTGTTTAAGGTATTTAGATAATTATTTTCGTTTTGTTAAATATTAATAATACAATTTATTCATTAGGTATTTGATTAAATAAAATGTCTGAGAGCAAATATCTCAGTGAGCGGAAACTTAAGCTTCAACATGAACAGGAACTAGCAAAATGTCGAAAAGTCAGAAGTTTTTTTACATCTCAATCTTCTACTTCCACTTCAAATAACTCAACTGGTGAAAATGAAGTTATTTTGAAAAGTGTGAAAAATTCTGCTGGAACTTCATGCAACAACTACGATGAAATGAAAATTTTATCGGAAGTTGCCTATCAAAAGAAGGCTCGTTTTTTCAAAACAAAAGGGAAGACAATATTTACTCTGAGTCTATCAGGAATTATAAGGGACAGAGCAGACAATTTACAAACAAATATTTTCTGAAACGTTTAAAAAATGGGCAACAATTAACGAGATCTTGGTTATCCTATTCGAAAAGCAAAGGATGTGTTTTCTGTTTAGTGTGCAAATTATTCTCCAGAACACAAACATCATTAATGAGTGGTTATTCAGATTGGGCAAACATAGTTCGTACTTTGGACAGTCATGAAGAATCTCAGGATCACAAAAAGGCGCTGTTAACCTGGTTATCCTACAAAGAAAACAAAACGTTGTTGACAAACATCTTCAGGAAAAAATAAAAAATGACTGTGGATATTATTACAATGTCCTGATGCGAGTTGTGGCAGTTATTAAATTTTTAAGTGAAAGAGAATTGTCATTTAGAGGACATGATGAAAAATGGGGTTCATCACATAATGGAAATTTTATGGGACTTATGGAATTTATTGGGGAATTTGATCCTTTTTTGAAACAACATATAGATAAATATCAAACCAAACCACTAGTTGCAAGTTACTTGTCTAAAACGGTTTATAAAGAGATAATCGACATAATACCAACTCAAGTAAGAAATAGTATATTATTAGCCAACGTTGCAAGGCCAAGCATTCTAGACCGAGCGCAAATTAGAACCCGAGACGCGCAGCGTCGAGGGCTCTGAAGCGCGAGGTCTAGAAGTGGCTTTGCAACCGTGGTTAATATACTATTTTTTTCACTAGCAGAAACCATAAGACAATAAATTGAAAAAATAAACGTTCAATTTTTTGACGCAACATGATTTTGTTTTGATTTCTAATCAAACTTAATCTAAATCTTCAACACAAAGAAAACCGTTTATACTTGTCGCTGAGTTAATCATTTTATCTTCTACCGTCTACCAACTATCTTGCGTATACTCAAGTAATGTTAGTAGCACACATTTGTTCATTTTTTAAGAAAAAATCACATCAAACATTACGTACATAACCTCAATTTTTCTTTTTCAACCCGTGGTAGCAAAAGTTGAATTTGCTACCACTAAATGAGTCGACATTTGCATGCGTCCTGGCTGCTAGTGAAAAAAAAAATTATTGAGGACATAAACGATGCAGATACAAAATATTATTCAATTATTGTGGATTCTACTCCAGATTTGTCACATACGGACCAACTGGCAATTATTTTGAGATACACTTCCCAATGAAAAGTTTTTGAAAGATTTCAATCATAAGATAAGATAAGATAATTTATTGGTGTTAAAAACAAATTGTTTTACACAGGTCATTAATTGCTTAGGCTACCTACTTACATATTTAAACAATTGAAATATTTACATTTTAGATATTCATCAAATGTGTAAAAACATTTAGTTGTAAAAAAACTCTTAAGTTTACTCTTAAAGATACTTAGTGGTTGGTTTCGGAAGTTAGTAGGTAAAATGTTGTAAAATTTGACAGCAAAGTATCTTGTACCTGTTTGTGCCCTAGTTAAACGTGTGTAAAAGGGAATTAGGTTATTTTTATTTCTGGTGTCATGAAAATGAGACTCGGTGAAATTCGGGAATTTATTTATATGTTCTTTAACGAAAACTAAGCTGTGGTAGATAAACACTAAACAGTGAAGGTAGAGTTAAAATATTGAGAGAAACGAACACTGATTTGCAGTCAGCACGATACTCAAGACCAGTTATGCTCCGTATGGCTCGTCTTTGGACAGCAAAGATTCTATGACGAATGACAGAGTGTCCCCACACTATTATTCCATATTCCAGCAGAGAATGAAAAAGGGCAAAATATGCAACTAATGTTGTTTTTAGAGATACATTTTTCCTAAGTTGACGATAGAAAGATGTTTTTACTTAGTTTTTTTGCCAGTTTATCCCCGTGAGGTTTCCAAAGAAGTTGGTCGTCGATGGTAATACCTAGAAATACCGTATCTTTGCTATAGCTTGAATTTGTTGGGTTATCTCTGTTCAGTGTGAAAAGCATATTGACTGATTTGTCGGTGTTCATGCTTAGTTTGTTGCTGTTGAACCATAGTTTAGCTTTCGATTGTACCTCCAAATTCTTATCTTCACATTCTTCAAGAAAATCACCTCTGTTTAGTATAGTGGTGTCGTCGGCGTATAAAATAACTTTCGAATTTGTTAAATTAGACGGGAGGTCATTAATAAAAATTAAGAAGAGCAGTGGGCCTAATATAGATCCCTGCAGGACACCACACGTAACAGGAAGATAGCTAGAAGACGTTTCTCCCATAGTGACTTTTTGAATTCTGTTTCTAAGATATGATGATATGAGACGAACACTCTCTGGGTGCAGATTATAGAAATAGAGTTTTCGAAGTAGTAGCTAATGGCACACACAGTCGAAGGCCTTGGTCAAATCTAAGAAGGATGCTGTCGCATAAGTACCTTCGTGGAAACAGTACGTGATCTCGTCAACGAGATCTATAAATGCTTTTGATGTGTTTAATCCAGACCTGAAGCGAAACTGATTGGAACAGATTAAATTATGTTTCTCAAAATAGCCACTCAATTGCACCATAAGAATTTTTTCCAAAATTTTAGAAAAAATCGGAAGAAGCGATATTGGACGATAATTACTACTGTCGCTAGGGTCACCTTTTTTAAGAATTGGGATAACATTCGCAACCTTTAGGCAGTCAGGGAAGGTACAGGTTTTAATACAAGTATTAATTAATTTTGTGAGGGGGGATAAAATAATATCTCTGATAGTTTTGATTATTTCGACACTAAGCCCATAGACGTCTCTAGATTTGCTGTTTCTCAATTTATTAATTACTTCTCGAACTTCGGCACAAGATACTTCCCTGAATTGAAAATAAGATACATTACTATTACAGTCACTACACATTAAAAATAAGGGGTCATAATTTGAAGAAGGTATTTTGCTGGTTATATTCCTAGCAATGTTACAGAAAAAAACATTGAAATCATTGACATTTTTGTTACAACTTTTGATAACATTAGTTAATTTGTCACTGCGTTTTGCATTGATGGTAGACCACATAGCTTGTATTTTATTGTGGGCCTGTTTTATGTAGTTTTCGTTAGCAGTGATTTTGGCCTCACGAATTGCGTCCCGGTATAGATTACGATATAAATTTCTAGCTACCTTAATGCCAGTGCATTTAGTCAGAGAAAATAGGTCGTTTAATTTTCGCAGGTTATTTTTCATTAATTATACCAGCGCACTGATTTATAATGAGATGCCTTAACGAATTTTTCAGGGAAACATAGAAAGACATTGTGTTGTATCACATTAATGAGGTAGTATGTGAAGTATGGAACCTAACGCATAACATTTATCTTTCTTGTTGAAAATGTACTGAGAAAATTTTGTAAATACGTATCTTTGGCAGATACCCTGCACTACACTGTGACCAAAAAATTCTTTTGAACACAGTTAATGAAACATCACTTTTGAGTAGAAGAAATTTGGCTTGTCTTACATTTTTACAAAAAATTATTGATGGTTCAGTGCATAGTGATACATTATATATAATTCAGCTCTGCAGGCCTTAAAGGCCCTGGGCTTTTTTAACAATAATTTTTCGTTTGTTCCTGTCGGCTGCTTTGGATCTCCAATCTTCAATGCCTAAGTTTTGAAGATCTTTTCGAACATCGTCTATCCACTTCAGTTTTGGCTTTCCTCTCTTTTTCTTTCCTCCTTTTAGGCGGTCTAATACTTTCCCAATGGTCCTTTCCTCTGGTGCTCTTCCGACGTGGCCTAGCCATCTTAGTCTTTGTGCTCTGATTATCTTCGTGATTGTTGGTTCTCCGTATATTTCCTCGATCTCTCGGTTTGTTCTTCTTCTCCATTGGTCTAGTTCTTTTATACCTCCATATATCTTTCGTAGTATCTTGCGTTCCCATACTTCCAACTTCTGTTCGTTTTCGTTCGTTAGCGTCCATGTTTCACTAGCGTACAGGACTGTAGGTCTTACTATTGTCTTATATACTTGTTTCTTTGTTCGTCGTGTTACATTCTTACTCCTCAGAAATCTGTTTAATCTTCCTACGCTCTTGTTTGCTTTCGCGATCCGTTCTTCTATCTCTTCGTTCATTTCGTTTTTGTTTGTAATTACTACTCCTAGATATTTGAACCTATTTACTTCTTCTAATTCGTATGTTGTTCCTTCTTCTGTAGTTACTTTCAGTGGTTTTGCTGGAGTTTGTTTTGTTTCCATCTTCATAAACTTCGTTTTCTCTTGGTTGATCGCTAAACCCATTCGTTTCGCTTCTCTGATTAGATTTTTTGTCATTTTCTTCATATCTGCTTCTGTTTTTGTTATACATGTCACGTCATCCGCAAAGGCTATATTTTGGTGTCTTTTTTCGTATCTCGTGCTCGTTCTGTGGATGCCACTTCTTATTATTGCTTCGAGTACTAGATTGAACAGGGTAGTTGATATTGGATCTCCTTGCCGGAGTCCTGTTCTTACTTGGAATGGTTCTGACAACAGACCATTTATCCTGACTCTGTTTCTGGTGCTCTGCAGGGTCATCTTAGTCAGTTTTATTAGTTTTCTTGGGACTCCCAGTTCTTGCATGGCTTCTAGCAGTTCTTTCCTGTTAACCGTGTCATAGGCTTTTTTAAAGTCTATGAACAGCAGATATAAGTTGATTCCTTCTTCGTAATGTACTTCTTGTAGTTGCTTTAATATAAATATCTGGTCTACAGTAGATCTATTTTTCCTAAACCCTGTTTGATATTCTCCTACTATTTTTTCCATATGCTGCTGTAGTCTTCGGTTGATGCAAGTGGCCATTACCTTATACGTTACGTCTAGCAGCGCTATTCCGCGATAATTTTCGCATTTCGTAATATCTCCTTTTTTAAATATCGGGCAAAGTACTGCTTCACTCCATTGTTCTGGCATTTTTCCTTCCTTCCAACTTTCTAGCACTAGTCGATGTATCTCTGATGCTACTGCTTCTCCTCCGTACTTTAGCATCTCGCCCTTTATTCCGTTTCTACCAGGACTTTTGTTGTTTTTCATCTGCCTTAGTGTTTCTCTAATCTCTCCTTCGTCAATTTCTATTGTTTCATCTGGGTCATCCGAGTCGTTCACTCTTTCGTTCGTATCTTGCTGTGTATCCTGTTCGTTTAGCAGCTCTTCAAAGTATTCTGCCCATCGTTTTATTCTTGCTTGTTCGTCTCCTATCAGGTTACCGTCGTTGTCTTTACAATATATTACTCGTGGTTGATAGCCTCTTTTCTCTTTTTTCACGTCCTGGTAGAAGTTCCTTATTTCATTCTTGTTGAAGTTTTCTTCTATTTGTCGTATTTGTTCTTCCATCTTTGCTCGTTTCTTATTTCTGCATATCTTCTTGTACTCTTTCCTTTTTTCTTGGTAATCTTTTTGGTTCTTCTCATTTTTTGATTTTAGATATTTCTGTCTGGCTGACCTCCCCGCTTCTATTGCTTTTCTACATTTCTCGTCAAACCATTCGTTTCTATTTTTGTTGTCTTTTTTGACGAACCCTAGTACTTCTTCCGAGGTCTTCCATATGTTCTCTTGTAGTTCTTCCCACCTCTCTTCTATAGGTATGTCTTGCTCTGTTGATCTTATTCTCTCATTCATCTTTTGTTCGTATTCCTGTTGTACTTCAGCTTTCTTAAGTTTGTTTACATTTATATCACGTCGCGTCTTCTTTCCTTCTTTTTTCTTCGGTATTTCTTGTTTGAGGTCTGCTCTTACTAGAAAGTGGTCTGAATTCGCTTCTGCTCCCCTGTAGCTTCTTAATCTGGTTATTAGTTGGGCATCTCTCCTTTCTACCAGTATGTGGTCTATTTGGTTGACCGTTTTTCCGTCAGGCGACATCCATGTGCCTTTGTAGATCTCTTTCTGCTACCATTTTATTTTCTTCTGCAAACTCTATCATTTTTTCTCCATTTTGATTCGTTTTTTGGTGTTTGCTTTCTTTCCCGATTGTTGGCCTGTAGCAATTCTCTTTACCTATCATTGCGTTGGCGTCTCCTATAACCATTTTAATGTCATGCTTTGGTATTTTCACATATTCTCTTTCTAGTTCTTCGTAATATTCTGTTTTTACTTCTAGATCTTTCTCTTAGTAGGTGCATGTATATTCAGTAGGCTTATTTTCCTGTACTTACTTCTCAATCTTGTATAACTCATTCTTTCTGAGATTGGTTTGAAGGTAATTACTGCTCCTTTCAGGCTCTTCTTCACCATGAATCCTGTTCCTAGTTCTCTGTTGTCAATTCCGCTATTAAATAATATGTAGTTGTCTACTTCAGTGATGAATTTGCCTTTTTGTTTCGTCTCTTGTATAGCTGCTACATCTATATTATACCTTTGTAATTCTTGAACTATTTGTCTGAGTTTTCCTTCGCTATATGTTCCTCGAACATTCCATGTTCGTATTCTAATTTTCGGGTTTTTCTTTCTCTTCGTAATTCCTATCGAGTCATCCATGAGCTTTGCATACGTCGTCATTGTTTTCCGGTGTGTGGTTTCTTCCTCTGTTAGTTTTTTGGATTTTCTTTGGGGTGCGACGGTGCTTTCACTAATTTGTCTAATTTAGTGTCCCAATGCCAGACTTCTCCTGCCCATATCATCTTTTTGTACCCTACTTTTGGCTCGACTCCTTTCCCTTTTTCTGCTGCTGCTATTCCTCTTATTTCCTTCTGTATCTCGCTCTCTTGTTTGGTGTAATCGTCTTCAATAAACGTTTTTGATCCTTTTAATTTGTTCTTCTGTTTCATGATTGCTCTTTTTGTGTCCCAGTTCTCTATCTTTGCTACTACTATGTCGTATTTTTCGCTGACTAATCTTGCGTCTTGTATCTTAGTTTGGATTCTTACCTTATTTTTTAGGAGTTCTTCAACCTCTGCTGTTATTTCGCTTCCTTGTAAGGTAGTTTCCCTCCTTCGATTACGATTTTGTTTCTCCTTTCTGCTTTTTCCAATTTTTCTAAGTGTTGCTCCAAGTGTTGGTGATGGTGAAAAGGAGGTTTCCCTTTTTCGTTTCTGGTTATCTTGTTCTTCTATTGCTAGTTTGTGTCCTTTTTCCGGTTCAGGATTCCCGTTTAGCATTCCCTGGCCGACTTTCTTGCTTCCTGTGTATCTAGAATGTTCCTGTGTTGTTTACTTCGTGCCGCGATAAGAACTGTCACCCAGACTATCTCTTCGGAGGTTAGGTTCTTTTGATTCCACACTTACCCGAATAATTGCTGTCCTTACACTTCTTGGTGCTTCTTATTCTTATTCCACTTCACTTCTTTGTTTTCTACTACTTCTCTTTCGCTTTTTACGCTCGATATCTCTCGATTTTCGAGTTTGGATTTCGGAGCGTGTTCTGCTTATCGTAGTCAGGACCGTACTCATAGTGATACATTACTTAGCCAAATAAATTTCATTGCACCTAGGAGTATAAGCCGAATGCCACAGACGTTTCATTATGTAATTCCGAATAGTTACTACCACTACAATTCTCCTTTATTAAATTGTTTTAAACTATACAATTGTTTGAATGATAAGTTCGATATTTTCTGCGACAAATTACATAGAAGTAAACTAAAAAAATTAATTATATTGCATTATAGTCAATAAAATGTATATCAACTATCTGGTCTTGTAGTACGAATGGGTGCCGATTGTTAATTATTTATGGTGTTTTTTTTTCTCTAGTTTATATATTCATTTTTTACTATTATTTTTTTATTATGTATACCCCTCTGTCGGAATATGTTTATAACAAAGCGAAAAGAATCTGTGAAAATGAAAACAAGGCACAATTTGTACAAACAATCTTTTAGTAAAGACAAAGTTGCTGCCAGAAACTTAATACACCAAATACAAAAGTACCAATAGAAAATACCCGACGACTTTGTCCCCTTTTTTTTCTGCTCGACTAAAGGCTTCTTCTGGTGGTTTGCCAATTTCAAATGAGCGTCCAAAACTTTCGCCTCCTTCGCTAAACGTTCTTTTAATTAATGCTGGTGCTTGGGTTGGTACCGGCTTCTGCTTCCCACACAAATATGGGTATTCGGGCGTTGCGCCACACGTCGTTCCATTTGGACAACTGTCACATGGGGTTTCTGATCTTTGATATATTTGTGCACCTATTCTGTTTCCAGCGGAAGTGGGAACAACGGAACTCGCATAATTGCAGATCAGAGTATAGCGCCAAGATTCCCTGTTTTCGGGATTATAAACCATGGAACATCCCACTCGATTCGTACTCCACCAGATCATCTGGGTGTAACTTCCAATAGTGTCACCTATTCCACCAAATTGATCTACAATGTCTTCATCCGTCACCCATTCCACTTCGTCATACCTAGGAAACGAAAAATAAGACAAAACAGACTAAACCATACCTTACCATGTTTGTATTCCGCTACGGATCATTTCCAGCGTATCATTTTCGCTAGAACCGAATAAATTTTGGCCAACAGGGAAACCACCTTTGCGAAGTCTGCACTTATCCTGACCTGTTTCATCCCATTCGTTGTACCTGAAAGTCATCAGTCCGCGACATCGGGTGATGTATTCCAGTTCGAGGTCGTAGCTCATTACCAACATGTTACCAGCAGCAGGGGTCCACCCTGAATACCCAAAATAGAAAATTACTGTGTATGTATTTCAAAAAAGTATTTATATCTACCGATCTGTGGCCTGCTTTCATTGCCTGACGCTAGATAGTTCCGCCATTTGTTATGTTCGTGGAGGACCATCTTTCTGAATTTCTTGTATGGTAAATTTCTGATTTCTTTTCGTGGTGGTATACGTATACACATGCAAGCAGAATGTGCGTACACATCGCAGTTCAGTTTGCAGTAATTGTACCTAGTGTACTTGTTCGGTTTGTCTTCAACAGCCAGAGTCGCAAAAGGCAGCAACATAATCATAAAAGTGACACTGGGAAACATTATGTTGAATTTCGGACTAAAATTCTTTACAATAAAAAAAAAATCAAATTTTAATAGATTGACGTAACCTGACAACCTAAAGTCTCTAGATCACGACCCGCTGGATGATAAGGTTTCTATCAATTTTGAAATTACGCTCCGCCCCTCGGTCAGACAACGAATGCAAAATTCATCACGATTGAAATCGAGACGGATGGGTGGGGCTTCTCTTTGGTTTTCTTTTTTAATTAATTTCATATGGTTACTTCGCGTAGAAAAATAAGAATTTTACAATTAAGCTCCGCCCCTGGACATACGACGAATAAAAAAAATAATCAGAATTGACAGAGGGTGGGCGGGCGGGGCTTATATTGTGCTTTTTTTTCTTAATATACATAGTCATCTTTTCACAACAAGAAACTTAGGACATGGATAAAATGGTACAAGTTTGCAAGAAAATATGGATTTTGTATTTATAGGGCGGAGCCTAATTGCAAAATCAATATTTCCTTATACAAATTTTTCATTTTAAACATGTTTTAAGTTTCATGTTGTGAAAAGAAGTCTACACATACTCAAACAAAAAGGAAAAAAGTAAGCCCGCCCACCCGCCCTGTCTCAATTCTGATTATTTTTTATTCGCCGTCAACCAAACTGGCGGAGCTTAACTGCAAAATATTTCTTTACAAACAATTAAAAACACGTTTTTGAGTATCGTGTTGTTCAAAGAATACAATGTATATTAAGAAAAAAAGGCAAAATATAAACCTCAAAAAATCGTAAAAACGAAACATTGAAAAATCGAAATATCGAAGAACTGAAAATGGAAAAATGAAACATGAAAAAATCGAAAAAATGTAAAATTTAAAAATCTAAAATTTAAAAACCGAATAACGAAAAATCGAGAAATTAAAACTCCCAAATTTATAAAATCGGATAACTGAAAAATCGAAACGTCGAAAAATCGAAAAGTTAAAAATTGAACAATTTATAAATTGAGAAATTGACAATCAAAATATCAAAAATCCGAATCTCGATAAATCGACAAATCAAAAAACCTAAAAAATTCGAAAAAATGAAAAATTGATTAAAAGATCAAAAGAACGAGAAATCGAAAAGTGATAAAGTCGAAAAATCGAAAATAGAGAAATCGACAAACAAAACGTTAAAAGTTGAAAAATTGGAAAAGCGGAAAAATCAAAAAACGAAAAAATGGAAAACTGGAAAAACTGAGAAACCGAAATAAGCCAACATGAAAATTGAAAAACTGATAAATCGAAAACCAGAACAATCAAACCTCGATAAATCGGGAATGAAAAATTAACAAATCGGAAAATTGAAAAACAGAACAACTAAAACCAGGAAGTCGAAAAATCGAAAGATTAAGAAATATTGAAACATTAAAATATCAAAAGATTGAAAAATCTAAAATTTAAAAATCCAAAAATTGAAAAATCGAGAAAGTAAAAAGGTAGACACATCGAAAAATCCAGAAGTCAAAAATAGAAAAGCCGAAGAATTGAAATATTGAAAAATCCTAAAAGTGAAATATCTAAAAACTGAAAAATCAAAAATTCAAATAAGTCAAGTCGAAAAAAAGAAACCTTAAAAATCGAAAAATAGAAAAATCAAAAAATCGTAAAAACGAAACATTGAAAAATCGAAATATCGAAGAAAATCGAAAACATGTAAAATTCAAAAATCTAAAATTTAAAAACCGAATAACGAAAAATCGAGAAATTGAACTCCCAAATTTAAAAAATCGGGTAACTGAAAAATAGAAACATCGAAAAATCAAAAGATCAAGAAATCGTGGAGTCAATTGAGAAACCGAAATAGGCCAAAAATCTAATAATCGAAAAGTTAAAAATTGAACAATTTATAAATTGAGAAATTGACAATCAAAATATCGAAAAATCTAAATCTCGATAAATCGAGAAATCAAAAAACTTAAAAATTCGAAAAATTGAAAAATTGAGACATTAAAAGATCAAAAGGACGAGAAATCGAAAAGTGATGATGTCGAAAAATCGAAAAATGGAGAAATCGACAAACAAAAAGTTAAAAGTTGAAAAATTGGAAAAGCGGAAAAATCAAAAAACGAAAAAATGGAAAACTGGAAAAACTGAGAAACCGAAATAGGCCAACATGAAAATTGAAAAACTGATAAATCGAAAACCAGAACAATCAAACCTCGATAAATCGGGAATGAAATATTAACAAATCGAAAAATTGAAAAACAGAACATCTAAAACCAGGAAGTCGAAAAATCGAAAGATTAAGAAATATTGAAAAATTAAAATATCAAAATCTAAAATTTAAAAATCCAAAAATTGAAAAATCGAAAAAGTAAAAAGATAGACACATCGAAAAATCCAGAAGTAAAAAATAGAAAAGCCGAGGAATTCAAATATTGAAAAATCCTAAAACTGAAATATCTAAAACCTGAAAAATCGAAAAATCAAAAAAGTGTAGTCGAAAAATAGAAACCTTAAAAATCGAAAAATTGAAAAATCAAAAACCTGAAAAATCAGAAAATTAAAGAATTGAAGAACAGGAAAATCGAAACACTCGAAGGTCAAGAAATGGGAAAATGAAAACATCGATTCATTGAAAAATCGAAAAATTGAGAGTTTATAAAAGTCAAATTTGAAAAATTGAAAAATCGAAAATTTGACAAAATGACAATTGAAAAACAGAAAATCTAAAACCGGGAAGTCGAAAAATCAAAAGATTAAGAAATCGAAACATTTGAAGAATTCGAAGACTTGGAAAAATTGAAATATAGAAGAACTGAAATGAAAAATTGAGAAATCTAAAATTTTAAAAATTAAAAAATCTAAAATTTAAATATAGAAAAATTGAAAAATCGTAAAAAGTAACAAAAACCGACACATCGAAAAATCCAGGAGCCAAAAATCGAAAAGTCGAAGAATCGAAATATTGAAAAATCCCAAAACTGAAGAATCGAAAAACTGAAAATTGAAAGTAAAACTAAAAATGGTGCACTAAATCGAGAAATCAAAACATCGAAAAATAGAAAAATTTAAAACGACAATTGAAAACAGAAAATCTAAAACCGGGAAGTCGAAAAATCGAAAGATTAAGCAATCGAAAAATTGAAAATTCGAAAAAGTAAAAAAATCGACACATCGAAGATTCAAAATATTGAAAAATCCCAAAAGTGAAACATCGAAAAACTGAAAAATGGAAGAAAAACTGAAAAATGGTAAACCTGAAAAATCCGAAAACTGAAATATCCATAAACTGACAACCTAAAAAGTCGAAAAATTGAGCAATAGAAAAATCCAAAAAGTGAAGTCGAAAAATTGAAACCTTAAAAAAATAAAAAAATAAAAAAAAAACCTGAAAAATCGAGAAATTAAAGAATTGAAGAACAGGAATATCGAAACCCTCGAAAGTCAAGAAATGGGAAAATCAAAACATCGATTAATTAGAAAATCGAAAAATTGGCAGTTTTTAGATCTCAAATTTGAAAAATTGAAAAATTGAGAATTTGAAAAAACGACAATTGAAAAACAGAAAATCTAAAACCGTGAAGTCAAAAAATCCATTGATTAAGAAATTAAAACATTGAAAAATTCGAAAACTTGAAAAACTGAAATATCGAAGAACTGAAATGAAAAATCGAGAAATCGAAAAATCGAAAATTTTAAATATTGAAAAATTAAAATATCAAAAAACTGAAAAATCGAAAAATTAAAAAATTGAAGAACAGGAATATCGAAACACTCGAAGGTCAAGAAATGGGAAAATCAAAACAGCGATTAATTGAAAAATCGAAAAATTGAGAATTTATAAAAGTCAAATTTGGAAAATTAGAAAATCGAAAATTTGATAAAACGACAATTGAAAAACAGAAAATCTAAAACGAGGAAGTCGAAAAATCAAAAGATTAAGAAATCGAAACATTTGAAAAATTCGAAAACTTGGAAAAATTGAAATACAGAAGACCTGAAAGGAAAAATTGAGAAATCGGAAAATCTAAAATTTTAAAAATTAAAAAATCTAAAATTTAAAAAAAGTAAAAAAATCGACACATCGAAAAATCCAGGAGTCAAAAATCGAGAAGTCGAAGAATTGAAAAATCACAAAACTGAAATATCGAATAACTGAAAATTGAAAGCAAAACTAAAAATGGGGAACTAAATCGGGAAATCAGAACATTGAAAAACCGAAAAATTTAAAACAACAATTGAAAACAGAAAATCTAAAAACGGGAAGTCGAAAAATCGAAAAATCAAGCAATCGAAAAATTGAAAATTCGAAAAAATAAAAAAATCGACACATCGAAGAATCAAAATATTGAAAAATCCCAAAACTGAAATATGGAAAAACTGAAAAACGAAAGAAAAAGTGAAAAATGGAAAACCTGAAAAATCCGAAAACTGAAATATCCAAAAACTGACAACCTAAAATGTCGAAAAATTGAGCAATAGAAAAATCCAAAAAGTGAAGTCGAAAAATTGAAACCTTAAAAAAATTAAAAAATAAAATTAAGCTCCGCCCCTGGACATACCACGAATACAAAAAAATAATCAGAATTGACAGAGGGTGGGTGGGCGGGGCTTATATTGGGCTTTTTCTTCTTAATATACACAGTCATCTTTTCACAACAAGAAACTTAAAACATGGATAAAATGGTACAAGTTTGCAAGGAAATATGGATTTTGTATTTATAGGGCGGAGCCTAATTGCAAAATCAATATTTCCTTATACAAATTTTTCATTTTAAACATGTTTTAAGTTTCATGTTGTGAAAAGAAGTGTACACATACTCAAACAAAAAGGCAAAAAGTAAGCCCGCCCACCCGCCCTGTCTCAATTCTGATTATTTTTTTTATTCGCCGTCAACTAAACTGGCGGAGCTTAACTGCAAAATATTTCTTTACAAAACAATTAAAAACACGTTTTTGAGAATCGTGTTGTTCAAAGAATAGAATGCATATTAAGAAAAAAAGGCACAATATAAACCCCGCCCACCCACCCCATCTCAATTGTGATGATTTTTTTTATGTTTAGAAACTTAATACACATTTAGAATGGTGAAGGAAATATGGATT